ATTTCACCCCCCCACCTTTTTTGGTTACCCCATCCACAGCCCTACCAAGTCCTGGGACCTCCTGGTTAACCTCCTCTTAGCCCTGGCCAAGTGGGCCCTGTATTTGACCAGGAAGAAGGCTCTGGCCAGGAAGGTGCCCGGAGACTGCAGAGCCGCTTTCCTTGCACTTGTCCGTGCATGTCTCCGGTTGGAGCACCAGTGGGCAGCATCTACCGGCTCCTTGGATGCCTTTGAGGACTGGTGGGTGCATCCCGGGGGGCTCTGCTCAGTGTACCCCTCAGGCGCATTTATTTTCATGTTTTGACCCTTTGACCCACATGACACCCCTATCCTGGGTTTTTTTGCCTTTTCTGTCCCAAGAATTCTGTTGTATCTTTCATCCCTTGGCCCCACACAGTAGGGGTATTAGTTAGCCAGGTGGGCCTTAGAGCCCATGATACTTGAAGAATACAAATAGACAGGAGCTTTTGGGGCCCAGCCACTTAGTACCTAGGGACACTACCCCTTGTGCAAGCTGGACTGATGCAGCAGCATCCCAAATCCATTTTTAAAAATACCCCCAAATCCATGTTTTTCCAGAATTAAAATAAAAGACCACCCGCCCCCCACCCCCCAATCTATACAGAGAGAGAGACAGCGATCAGTTGGGCAATGCTTTATTGGTATATTTACAAAGTTAAAGCAATGTGGAAGCCTACCAGTGTCTCTATCATCACGATAAAATAAATTCTAAATACTTTTATGCGTTGATGTATACTTTTGTTTTTCTTCGCACATGATGGGTGTGTGATGGGGGGATGTGGTGTTTGCAGGAAAGGGGTGCGAAGGGGTGTGGTGGAAGGTGGGTGGGGTGTGTGTGGAGGGATGTGGTTTGGTGTGTGGGTAGGTGTAGGGCAATTTTGCTGGGGGGACTATGGGTGTGGGGAACCTTGAGGGGGGGCTGCTCAGGAGGTGTGGATCCCCTGGCCCCCATAGGGTGCAGCCCCCGCCACAGCACATGGAATGCTCCCCGCCCAGGGTCCCAGATCCCCCCTGGAGGTCCATAGCCCAGGGGCCATAACTTACCTTTAAGAGCAGCAGTGGAGTGGGGCATTCCGAGCCATGGGAGCAGGACCTAGTGCGGCATGCAGGGACCGTGCGCTGGGCCCACCCGGGTCCTGCCAGCCCTGGGGCCTCTCTGCCTGGCAGGGGTGAGCCATAGTGACAAGACCCAGAGCAGGACATGGGGACCGCGTGCGGGGCCCAGCCGGGTCCTAGGGCCTCTCTGCCACTTGGCCAGGCTGGATCATAGTGGCAGGACCCAGCACAGCAAGTGAGGGCTGGGTCCTGCCACCCTTGGGCCCCTCTGCCACCTGGCCAGGCCGGGCCCTTGGTGGCAGCACCCAGCACGGCATGCGGGGACCACACACACGCCCAGATAGCTGCTCCTGCTGCCCGACTCGGTCTGGGTGCTGTGCTGGGCCAGTCCCGTGTGGCTTGCTAGTCTGGCTTTGTACCAGAACAGGTCACATGGCTCCAGGAGACACAGGTCGTGTGTGTACCTCCTGGAGCCCTGTGACCCACTCTGGTGCAAAGCCAGATTAGTGAGCTGCATGGGGCTGGGCTGGGTCCATACACCCTGCAGTCCTGGGGACATCCCTCCTGCCACTCCCCAAACCCCCCAACATCCCCCTGACACCCCTCACCCACTCACACTCATGAACCTGCCCCCCCCCACTTACTTTGGACAGCGCTGGGGGCCAAGGTAGCAAGAGAATGAAAGAGACACTCTGGCTGACACCAGAGTGTCTCTTTTGGAGGACTGACTCCCTGAGAGGGTCTGGGATCATGCTTTGCTCTGCTCTTCTGCGGGGCAGTTGTTTTAGACCCCTGGATACCCACGGGTCTAATTTTCTCCCTGCACTGCAAGTTTGCAGTGCAGGGAACATTTTTTTCATTCCCGCATGTGCCTTTTGCCCCACCTCAAAGGGGTTTGAGATGGGGCAAGAGGCACGTGCGCGCCCATAGAGTGCAGCCAGGAGACAAGTGACACCACACAGAGATCAAAAATAGAAGAGGGCCAGAGGGAAAAAGCCAAAAACAGGTTGGGAAGGAAGACTTGTTTTTCACTGCATATAGTGAAATAATGTAAGACAACGCATGTAATGTTCCTACCTTGGTTTCTGATGACATTAAAGTGTTTTCAACCAGAGGTATTTTTATTGGCTTTTTTTGCTTTGAAGAGAGAGCCTTGATACACTGCTGCATTATTTCAGTTTTATGCCAATGTAATTCCATGCACAAGGGTGCATGGAATTCCATGCACACAAGGGTGATACAGGCTCAAGGATTTTTACCTTTGACTGTACCTCTCTCCCTGCTAGCTGACTCCACTCTACAGCCACATAATGTAGGGGCTCATGCTGCCCAGGAGACGGAGGGTGACATGTCTGAAGACACTTTGTAAAGGCCTGAGAGAATTTGCCACCTACTTCTCTTCCTCGGGAAGAGGGACAAAGGAGCTTCAAAGGGAAGTTTGCTGGGGTGCTAGTGGAACAAGTCTTGAGAGGTTGGGGAAGGAATAGATTTATAATCTGCCATCCCTACTCCTTTCTTTCTCTGCCTCCCTACTTCTAACATTGTTGTATTTTCATTTTATATTGGAGCAGCTTTTCTCTCCCAGTCTTGCTCTTGGCTTCCAGCTTCTCTGATCCTCATTCTTGTTTTCAGTGGTTTTTATAAGGCTTCTCTCTAGTCCTGTTTCCTCACTAATCATAAACATAGCAGGAGGCCACCAGTAGTAGCAGTATATCCCCAAAACTTGTCCTCTTCCTTTCCTCACTGGCTCCTTGACTGACTTAGTACAGGTTTGGATGTCTTTCTTGGGCTAGCAAGCAGCAAATTCCATCCAGCTACAATTGGTTACCTTTGGTGCTGTCACCACCCGCTTCCTGGAAAACAGGATGCACTCCCTCCATCATAAGGTTGGAGACAGGAACGGGGTCACATCAGTGAAAGGGGAAAAGGTATATACTTAAATACCTTTTTGCAAAAAATAATTCTATTTCCAGTGCCTAAGATCCTCTTGTATGTGAGGAGTATTTTAGATAATATAGCTTCATTTTAACAAATTTTATCTATTACGAGTTTGGAAACTTTAATAACTGAATCGTCTAATAAAGCATTTTGCAACTTGTGGGTCACGACCCAAAAGTGAGTTGCAATAATGTATGAAAGGGTCATAAACAATCATGGAAAAAATGGGGAAAAAAGCAGAAAATCATGGATTTTCTCCTTTAAAGGAGAAAACCCTCGGAAACTGCAGGTTTCCCCTTGCAGGCTGGCAGAGTTCTAGTTTGCAAAGGGCTGCTTAGGGTTGGGGGGAGCAGAAGGCTGATCAGTCAGGGGGCATCATGTGCATGTGTGTGTCCTTTTTAGATATGTGGGGAGCCGGAGGAAAAGCAAGGGCAACATTGGACCGACAATAAAAAGTCCTTTTTTAGATATGCAGGGAGCAGAGGGAAAACAAGGGCAACATTGGACCTCTGCTAAACCAGATGGGACATCTGACAACTGATGCCCATGAAAAAGCCAACTTGCTAAATGGGTACTTTGTGTCAGTCTTTCACCAGTCCCAAGGGACAGCCCTGCCCATTACAGAACAGGAAGTCCTGGGTCAGGGAGATTCTTTACCCTCCATCAATGCCGACCTTGTGAAGGAACACCTTGAGAGGCTGGATATCTTCAAGTCAGCTGGCCCTGACAGCTTACACCCCAGGGTACTCAAGGAGCTGGTGAGCATCATAGCCCAGCCCCTGGCATGGATCTTTGAGAACTCCTGGTGCTCTGGTGAAGTACCTGAAGACTGGAAGAAGGCCAATGTGGTGCCTATCTTCAAGAAGGGGAGGAAAGTGGAGCCAGCACACTACAGGCCCATCAGTCTGACCTTTATCCCGGGGAAGGTCCTGGAAAAGATTATCAAAGAGCACATTCTCAACAGTCTGGCCGATGGCAAAATCCTGAGGGATAGCCAGCACAGATTTGTTGCAGGTAGGTCTTGCTTGACCAATCTTATTTCTTTTACGACCAGGTGACCTGTCACCTGGACAAGGGAGAAGACATTGATGTCGTATATCTTGACTTTAAAAAAGCCTTCGATATGGTATCCCATGATCACCTCTTGGCAAAACTGGCCAATTGCAGCCTTGGCTTCTCCACGATCCGCTGGCTGGGGGATTGGCTTTGTGGTTGGGCCCCGAGAGGGGGGGGTGGGCGGAGG